ATTTTGCAATTGCCTACAAGAAAATAATCACAAACACATCTATATTTTTAAAAATCCCCTACATTATTGATATAAGGCTATACAGTGAACAACACAAACAAAGCTAAGTGAAAATTGGAGTACATATCATCATCATATCTAGGCTAAGTCTACGATTTTCAGCGTTAATTATTGCTCTATTAAGAGACCTGCCTTTAAAACCAACCATCACGAAGGGACTAAGATTCTTGGTACTCACGAACTACCTTCTACGTTGGAGTCAAATTCGGGATACAATGCAACGCGGCAGCCCTCGCACTCACGCCCGAGCGAGGACGTGGATGCACCAACTCTCTGCGCAAACTTGCTTCCTCATGTTCTCTCGTCCCATTCCATGCCCCCCCCCCCTCGGGCCTTCCCTCTCTTTATTACTTTAGAATAAAAATCGGTCATAATTCTGGTGGTTATTATGGTACAATAGCCAGGAAAATATTCGAATAACCACTTCCAGGAAAATAAAGAAGAACTTTTGTTTGTTTGATCATTCGCGGAGTGAAATGCCCAAAATAATGTTTCATTGGATACTTCGTGTAGAAAACCAAAGCGATCACACTGTAACGAGATTCCCCCGCTGTGACGTGGGCAATTTAGTAGTGCTGAATGACGCGTTCCCAAACTTCAGCTACATTAAGGACAGGGACTTTTGTAATATAGAAACTTTCCTACATTGCCAACAACAGTCCAAACCTAACCAAAGTAAAGACTGCCATATGAAGGGGTTTACAACACACTAGACATTATAATGAGCCAAAGTTCACTGCAATTCCCTTTTAGGGCACCTGGAAAAAACTACTCTAAAAATCCTCCTTACAACTGAGGAACGTTGTGACTCACCTGGTTGTGACGAGGTGTCGGCAGGGGCTGAGGAGCACCATCTTCTGCTGCGGGAGGCACACGGCAGGGCGGCACTGACGGGGGGCACCTGCAACGACAACGCCTCGCTTTATCGGGTGCTCTCGCTCACCAACAAGTCATCACTATAACCATCATCATCGCCTTCATCACCATAATCACTAATATGCTTATGATTATCATTACAGCATACTTTTTATCATCATTCTATCATAATTCTCAATATGCTATATATTGCACTGCTTCTAAGGAAATACATTAACAAAGCGTAAAGTCAAAGATGCACGAGGCCAATGTCCAGGCCACCATTTTCCGCGTTAAAAAAGGTCAGCCTGAAAGATGCACGCGTAAGAGGCCTCCGAGACCTCGCGGCCGGTTTCTTTAAGGCCGAAACGCCGCAGAACGACCATAAAGTTCAGTAACACACACGCACTTCCGCACGCACGCATGCACAAGCACATTCACATACGCACGCACACATACAGGTGTACATATATGTATGTATGTGTAGTATGTACAGTATGTTTTAATTAGTGTATGTGTGTGTATGAATGTGTGTAAGTACTTATGTATGCAGGCATGCATGTATGTATGAAGGTATGTATGCATGCATGCATGTATGTATGAATAAATGTATATAACTATATATGTACACATACATACTCATTCACAAACACACACACACACACACACACACACACATACACATATATATAGATAGATAGATAATGAAAACAACCATAAATAAAATAAATTTTCTCTAGCCACAACAGTATGCAAGCATGGCGAACTATCGTGGCAAGTTATTCAGAAAAAAACAAATCTTTAAAAACCTTGCAGTAACTACCACTCCAGCATCAAACACTATTAGGAATTCACCTTCATCAAAGGCTTCCCGAATTTTAGAGCAAATCTTATTATTCAGACACGGTAACTGATTACGCGAAACACACCTGCACACAATCCTCAATTTCGAACAATTCTATGCTATTTCGTCAGAGTTTCAGCGAGCCAATGAGAGAGAGAAGGAACGGAGAGGGGGAGGAAGGAGGGAGGAAGGGAATGAGAAAGGAAGGAAGGAAGAAAGGAAGAAGGAATGAAGGGAAGGAAGTAAGGAAGAAAGAAGGAAAGGAAGAAATGAACGGAAGGAAGGAGGGAAGAAAGGAAGAAAGGAAGGAAGGAAGGGAGGAAGGAGAAAGGGAGAGGGAGGGAGGAGAAAGACTGGGAGGAAGAGTGGAAGGAGCAAGAAGGATGGAGTAAAGGAGGGAAGAAGGACAGGAGTAGTGGAAAGTGGCGAACAGAAACAAAACAAAATAAAGCATCCAGATAAATAGACATCAAACAAACCCCCCCAAACCCCTTCCTCCGTTCAGCCACACAACCCCACCCGCGTCATTCCTCGAGGCCAAGGGTATGTCTGGATGACTGCCCCGAAGGAGCAATACGAAGCCGCACTCTTTTCGATACTGGCAGACAGGACGACTGAAGGGAAATTCACGAAGGGAGGGCAAGGAAAAAGAGGCGAAGGATGACCGTAAGAAAAAGAAAGGAGAGGAATGAGAGGAGAAGCGACTCCGAGGCAGACGCGATCAGGACGGCGGGAGAAAAAGGTGAAAGGACTGCAGGAACAGGGCAAGGAAAACAGGATGCACGCAGGGTTATGGCAGGGTGTACGGGACTGCAGAGGCAGGCTAGGGATGCCGGCGCTCCAATACGTCTGGGCTTCGTGAAATATAGCAAGATATACAACTGCGCCATTTCCTGCCTCGGCCATGATGCTGAGGGTCGAGCCTGGCCTGGCCTGCCGCTTCCTCCCGCCTCCTGCCTCGCGCTTCCTCCCCCAGATATCAAATTGGGTCATGCGCCTTCCACGGGGAAAATGGGAGCCTCGCAAGATCCTGGACTCGAGGCTATTCCCGTTGCCTGCTCGAACTGATGGGTATTATTTCCGTTAGAAATATCCAAAGGAACAAGCAACAAAGATTTCTAGTAACAACAGTAATAACAATAATAATGATAATAAGGATGATGATGATGATAATGTGATGATGATGATGATAACTAAAAAACAACAACAATAATAATCACAACAACAAATGCGGATGGAATAAAAATTCCTCTTCATATCATCACTTTCACATTTCTCTCTCCTTCTGCGTCCTTCATACAACAAACAACATCTGTGCAGCATGGACAGTCCAGAGATAAATATTCCTCATTAATACCCTAACGGTCGCCCTGATAAATCCTCCCCAAGCCTTCTGGACATTTATCTCCCGGAATCGTTCACATCCCGGCGAAACCTGACCGAGTCCCCGCGTCGTCGTGAGCAAAGGCGCGGCGGCATCGTAACTGCTGCCGAGACTCGTATTACCGCCATTAAGCTCACGGATAAGTTGCCATTACCGTGATCGTAAATATCGCGCTTATGATCATTCTGAATGAACGTACGCGTTATGATCAGATTGGTAAAACCTGACACAAAAGAACTAAGAGGAGTGTGGGTAATCAGGGAAAAATCGTGAGAATACGTTCTTTACAATTGCACGCGCGCACAACACACATACACATACACACACACACACACACACACACACACACACACAGTGAGTGTCAGTATTATTTGTATGTGTGTTTTTGTTACGTGTATAGGAGTGCATTCAACTACAAAACTTATTGAAAGATGTGCAAAAAGGTCCCTATCGACACCAATGGGCTGCTCTGATAATTCACAGAACGGACTTCGACTCATCTCAAGGTCAGAGGCCACTCGTAACTTCCAACTTAATAGGTTAAGACGCAGTGGGCTTTCCCAGAAAACACACGTCGACGCAAGACATGCCAGTTTCTATATTCTGAACTACGTTACTATGAACTTTAATTACACCATGAACACCTGACTGCACCTCATCCATGAACAGCAAATTAAGCAATCGTAAATAACAGCAAGCAGAATATCGCCACACGTGTTCCCTCAACCGCAGACAGCGCTCGAGAACAGCTGTGCCACGGCCAAACATTGCCAGGCATCCGTCGCGCGGCGCGGACGGCGGTGAGCGACGGCGGA